AGCTGGCTCACAGTCTGGATGCTGCTGTGGTTCTCACTCTGGACCAGGCTTGGCCTTTAAAATGTCCATTTTTAGTTCCTCAGCAGCACGGCGAGGTCAGACGGTGTACGTGTTTAACAACAGGATTCCCACAGATTTCATGGTTTAATGTTAGGATGAGCTCTAACTCACCTGGAAGGAATAATCATGTCTTTTCAAAACACAGAAGAAGAACACATCAGCAAGCGTGTCCACATCATCCCCACAAGTCTCTGTGAACATGTCCCCACTGTGTGCTGTGTAAGTGGGCAGTGAGTGCACACGGCTGTGATCTGGACTCATCTGTTTGCCTTCAGTAAGGATGTCTTCCTGACAGACGTCCTTACTGAGAGCATTTCTGAGGAGGCTTCAGTGAACAGCAGATGATCAGCTGAAGGTCCTGAGTGACTCTTCAGGACTTTTGTTTACCTGCTGTGGATGGGCTGGTTCTGTGTTGATGTCTGTTATGTGTTGACACGGCTCTGGTTCATCTTTTTGTTAGGAGCCTTTGATGCTCGAATGAGTTGTAGGTCAGAGTTCAGACCCTTAATAAAAAACCTTCCTCGGGTACAAAGACTGGACTGAACCTGAGTGTAAGAGCAGCCAGTGTCCAAAGAAGACCTTTTAAAGACCTTCAGAGGGATGTGGATCAAAGGTAAGAAAATGAGGGTGGCTCAAGACTTTTGCACAGTACTGAGCTGTAAAAAGACTAAAACAGCTTTTCAGGAAAACATGAGTGTTTCACACAGACTGTGTCCTGTCGCTGTGCTGATTGTTGTACCTGCACGTGTGTGTGTGTGCATGTGTGTGTGTATGTGTGTGTGTATGTGTGTGTGTGCGCGCCGAGCTCTGTATTCTCCAAAACGTGTTTTTTAATAAATAAGAACATAAACGCTGAGGCTGTGACGCTGAAATAAGTGGAGCTGATAACCTGAGCTGGAGTTAACAATCCCAGCCGTGAGCTCGGAGCTGCAGCATCCTGTCAGCAGACCCATCACCATGGAGACCAAACATGTCCATTCCTCCTGTGACAAAAACTCCGCCCTGACGTGATTTGAATCTGCTTCCTCCTGATTGTTCGGAGGAGCCTCACGCACCTCAACATCAACAGAAGTAAGTTCAGAACTGACACACACACGTACTCGTTTTCATATGCTAGTGAGGACATCTCATTGACATAACCCTAACCTGACCCCAACACTAAAACCTTCAAACTCATGTGGACGACCCTTTGTCCCCAGAAGGACTGCGGGTCCCCACAAGTATAGTAGGATGCCAATTTTTGGTCCTCACAAAGATAATAATAAATTTATTTATGAGCGCCTTTCAAGTCACCCAAGGACACTTTACAATAGGATAAAACACTTAGTAAAACAA